GGTTGAGGGTGCTGTCTCTCTCTCTTTTTCTCTCTCTAGCACATGTGTGCTTATGGAAGAAATAAATAACTTTTAAAAAATGATTTCTGGTTTTTAAGAACCATTTTTCAAATTGCAGATGTCCTTAAGCAAAACTTATAAGATTTGGGACCAGCAGATGTCATAATGGTTATGTTGCTGGACTCCCATGTAGTCTACCACAGTTTGGGTCCCAGACCTGGTGGCTTAAAACTAACATACGGCGAGTGTCCCATTCCTGAGAGGAAAATGGAGAAAGGCCATCCCCCAGGAGGTGATTTCTCACTTTCTGTCTCCCTTTCTCTCGAGCATCCGAACGCACCCTACAGCAAAAATCTCTCTCTAAAAACAAAACAAACAAACAAAAATTGTAAGACTCTCTGTAAATTTTAGGTCCCTAAAATAAGAACCCCAGGTTTAAGACTTGGTTCTGGGCAGCTGGAACTGGAATCTGGAAAAGATTCAGAAATCAGGAAGGTTATACTCTGGGTAGTTCTGGTCCATCCTGGTGCCTGGTGCCCAGGCACTCTTCCCTATAGCCCTGGGTCACCTATCTGGAACTCTCAGCAGAGGAGAGGCAGGACTGGATCCAACCACTCCATCCACTCTCACCCAGCAGTCTGAGGGGATGCTGTCCTTGGAGAGCCTTCTGACTCTCCTCTCCCCCCACACAGCCTGCATGGGGAGACCCAAGCAGCAGACTCAACAGTGCTTCCTCTCCAGCCTCAACCAGCATCTGCAGAGAGGGAGGTTTTTATACCCTCCTGGCCCCTCCTCTCCCCAGCCCTTCTATCTTTCCATCTATTGTCATTGCTGAAAATGAAACGTGTAAACAAACATTTTTTTTAATCTACAGTAGCCCTAATTGAATTGGCTTGCTGCATTGTTATGGAGAAACAAGGGTAATTTCCTGTCAGTTATTGAGCTATTTAGCAATTATTTCTTATCATTAGTTTGCAAATTCAAACAGCATCATATTCTCTTTGCCGAGTTACAAAGGCAGGGCAGCACAGCGTCCTTTTTGCAGAAGCCAGGCCCTTCTATTTAGGTCTCCTCGGCCTTTATCTCAGCTCCCTCCTGCCCTCCTCCCAGGCTGCCCATCAGCAGCAGCTTCTGCAGGAAAGGTCAGTGCCCAGGAGAGCCTGCCTAATGGGTGTTTATCTCCCCTTGGCACTCTCATTAGCTAATGGAGCAAGCTGTTTCCCATGGGACTGACAGCCCCACCGGGGACTGTAACGTTGGCATGTCCGTCTGCCACCCAGCTTCCACCAAATAGCTAGGACAGATGAGTATGTGAGCATCTATCTCGCCAGCGCTCACAGGCTGCTTTCTCTGCCTACATGCGCAGAGCTCTGGTTCCCTATGCCAACAGCATTTCCCCAGAACCTGGCTGCCCGTGATCCCCACACCCAAGGATGCCACAGATGTCATCCCTGTCACCAAGGACATAGACACAGAAGCTGCAGAAGGACATCAGTGTGCAAGGAGAGATGGCCAGCAGACTGTCCTGTAGGATGAGGTGGCATTAAACCATTCCCACAAACCTTTCACCTACAACATTACTTTTCAAATAAAATTCTGTCAGATGTTCCTTGAAGACAGCCCTAGAAAGGACAGGAGTCAAATACATATACAGCTTCTGTGACAATTGCAAAATTCTCAACTATCTCATTACCTTGGTGATGGGGCTCTGAGGAGCTTACGGTCTGATTGAGCTACTGTTGACTCTGTCATCACTACCTAAACTAAAACTAACTTTTTCTTCTACCCACTGACTTCTTGAACCTCTGGGAAGCTGCCTAATTGAAAGATAAAGTTCTCTCTCTGTCCACCCCATCTGCAATCCTCAATTCCAAAGACCCAGTAATATACTTGCACCATGTACATGACTATCAATGGGAACAAGGGCAAGTCATAGTTAGGGTAGGTCAGTTCTTTCTGCTGGTTATATCTGGGTAGTGGGGAAAAGAACAGTTTGGGGTCATTCAAGAGCCTCCTCTTGGAATGAATTGAAACTAGTAAGGCCAGGCTTAAGGTAGTGAGGACAGAAAAAAGCACAGAACCTTGGCGTGAACAAGCTACACACCCAAGTGTGCGTGAGTACACGCTGTGATGTTCTCACACTGACAAAATCACCTAACAATCATTTTGAAGAACATATCTCAATCTTTAAGCAATACTTGACTGTGCATACAATGGATTATTTTTCGTCTTCTAAAAAGGAGAGATTTTGATAGAAGCTCTGACATGGATGGACCTTGAAAACACTATACACCAGATGTAGAAGGACAACCATTGTGCAATTTTATTTATATGAGATACTTAGAACAGGCAAATTCATAGAGACACAAAGAATAGAAGTTACCAGAAACTGGAAGGAGGAACAATTGGTAAGTTAGTTATTAGGTACAGAGTTTTTATTGAGGATGATGAAAAATGTATAGATTCAGGCAGTGCTGCTAGTTACATTCAATGGCACTGAATTGGTCACGAATAGTTAAACTAATAAATAACATTTTATGTCTATTTTAACTCAATAGGAAAAAAAAAAGTGTCTCTGTAGACAGCTCTGGAGCAAGAGAGACAGCTTTCCAGCCTAGCAGACCATCCTGACATGGAGGATGAAAGGCAGAGGCTGCTGGTGTTCAAGAAAAAGTGCCTTTGAAAATGCAAGCCTTCCATACATCGTCCAGGTCTGGCAGTGTGTTCACAAGCCTGTCTTCTTAACCTGAAGCCTTCCACAACATATTTAGAGCAGCTAATGGCAGGCCCACATGTGGAGTTAACAGCAGAGAACATGCCATGATCAATTGATTTTTGTATCAAAAAACAATTTTGTTTCGGAAGGGCAAATCTTGTCCTCATTTCTGGCAGATCACCAACAGATAGAAGAAAGATCGAAGATCACCTAGCAAAGAGCATGTTATAAAGCTGTTGAAATGTGTCCTGGATACCGTCAAGCTCCCACCCAAGCTATTTCCTGCCCTCTTTCCAGCATCCAGCACAGCGCTAGCATCACTGAGAGACTCTCAGAGTATCTTTTGAATAAAGCAATGGCCTCACCTTAAACCCATAAGGTAGATGGCTAATAGCTTACTTAGGTTTATGTAGATAGTGTGTGATTAAATCACTCTTCAGTGGCTGCCCACTCAGCATGGATGTCTTCTATTATTACTATTATTATATTTTTTAATTAATTTAATTATTTTTAATTAATTTTCATATAATAGATGTATATCATGGTGGGTTATGGCATAGGGGTGCATACCGAGAAAAATAAGCAAATCAAAGATAGACCCATCTCCATCTTCTTTAGCATTAAATATTACATTATGTTGTGCAATTTGTTCATAGTTCTACTAGTTTGTAGTTTTGAAACTATGTATTAAATTTTCCATTTCAAAGTCTCTTTGCTCTAGGATGCATGCACTCACTGGAGAAACAGAGACAGAAACAGAGAGAAAGTGAGAAATTAACCCCTGGGAGGATGGCCACGTCACAGTCCCGTCTCCTCCATTCTCTTCTGAGAATTTTTGGCATGTACACACATGTGTCCAGCATAATTTTCAGATCCAGGACTTGAACTGCAGAGTCAGTCATGCGGGATCCAACACCTGTGACCTCCATACCACCTGCTGGCCCAAATTGTCCATATTTTTAACTCTGCTATGATACATCATCCTAGAGCCTTCCCTCTTGTTTACATGCATTCTCGTGTCCATTATTTTCTCATGAACCCCCTTCTACCTCCTCCACAGCAGTGCCTAGCATCTACATCCCAGTCTCTATTTCTGTGCTTCCGAGTCCTTCGGTCTCCACCACAGAGTAGGGACATTAGGTGTATGTGGAATGGGGACATACGGTGTTTGTTTTTCCTAGTCTGGTTTGTTTCACAGGGTGATTTCCCAGTGTGAGCAGTTGGTCACCTCACTCAGGACTCTTCCCTGATAAAGCAAATGTTAGGGTACGTCTTCTGGCAGATGCAGGAATAGATGGGTATGTTCAGCCATGGCTGGACTCTGGTCTTTCTCTCTAACACCAATAACCACTTATCAGTTACTGCTGGCTTGGATTCATCATGAGATTCTTTTCTATATTTTAACTTTAATAACTTTGTTTTAGTTGTGATTAAAATGAACCTTTAAACAGCATTTGAACAAAAGTATTAATTGGTTGCATGCCTGTATATTGTAATAAAGCAATAGTAACCATTATGAAAGACCTCAACATAGAAAAGGGGGGAATACGAAGCAGCGTCGGTAATGAATAACTTTAATTTACCCTTAGCACTGAAGTCCATGTCAACCACGAAAAGAAAGTGCACATTTTCCCTACTTAACATTATTATTCTTGTCTCACCTGCAACCTAGGTTATAAAACTTTAAAAGTGAAAAGTTTGAAGCTGCATTCAGAATTCAGGAAGATGCAGTATAAACAGAAGAAGCAGGTAGGTAGGTTCCACAAACAGGCACACGCACTGGCAAGCTGACATGTACAAATATAGACACCAACTAAAGAGGGCTGCAAGGAGAGAACCGTGTCGGCGCTGCTAAATTATTCATCACCTGCTCTGCAGAGTGAACACTATCAGGTAATGATCTGTAATTATTAATAAATAATTTAAGCTTTTAATAGCTCTGAAATGAAATGCTTAATTGCATCACAACATAATTAATGGAATTAGCTGCAATGTTAAAGATGAGACTTTTTTTTTTTTCTTCCATCTTTCTTTTTCACATTTTCTTTGCTCTGAATGCTGGTAACCTAGCGAATAAACAGGGTGATTAAACTTGAAGTGTGTGTGTGTGTGTGTGTGTATGTGTAAGAGAGAGAGAGATGTACGTTTCAGCACAGGGATGTGTGTGCAGTTTTGTTCTATGAGTCTTCACATCCAGGGTATCTCAGGTATGGAGACATGAGCTTGACCAGCCTGTGTCTGACAGCGGCCCTGGCAGTG